GGTTTGCTGTGAGCCAAGATCGTGCCACTGTACTCTAGCCTGGGTGACAGAGCAAGACTCTATCTCAAAAAAAAAAAAATTTAGCCATTTCACAACGTGTACATATACCAAAACATAATATTGTACACCATAAGTATATACAATTTTAACTTGTCAATTTAAAAGAGAAAATCAAAACACCATCATCATTTAAAAAGAGCTAAATAAAAACAATTCATTGGTGAAGCTGGGACAAGAACTAAGTTTTCAAAGAAGTGGGGGAAAGATCTAACAGTACTACACAGACAGGAATATTTTATGATTGTGAACAGAGCTCCTGCTGCTACAGCTCTCTGGATCCTTTGGGACTTCTCTACCATGATGAATTACTCAATCAAAATTAAAGATCTCTTATCTAACTCCTGGTGTAAAGGCGATATTCAGTTTATAGCACCATTAATGAAATACTTTGCCAGAAATATTTAACCGGTACCTATTTAAGCTTTTAGATGTCACTTCCAGTTTATAGAATATAGATTACAGGATCAAGTTGAACATCAAGAGGAGATAATTATACAAATCCAGAACCAAGAATATTCCAAATGTTAATGTCAGAGGAAAGCAAAGGAACTGTTCTAGATTAAAAGATAAAACAAGGCCGGGCCCGGTGGCTCATGCGTATAATCCCAGCACTTTGGAAGGCCGAGGTGGGTGGATCATTTGAGGTTAGGAGTTCAAGACCAGCCTGGCCAACATAGCGAAACCCTGTCTCTACTAAAAATACAAAAAAATTAGCCAGATGTGGTGGCACGTGCCTGTAATCCCAGCTACTCGGCAGAATCGCTTGAACCTGGGAGGTTTGAACCAGGGAGATGGAGGTTGCAGTGAGCTGAGATCACGCCACTGCACTCCAGCTTCAGTGACAGAGCGAGACTCCATCTCAAAAATAAGAAAAAAAGAAAAAGATCAAACAAAATGCATTGTATAAAATTTCATTGGATCCCAACACACACAAAAAAATCCAGCTGTAAAATATGTATTTGGTGAATAACTGAAGAAATTTTAATACGGTCTATATAGTGGAGTGGGAATTTTTTGTTAATTTTCTTTCTTTTTTTTTTTTGACAGAGTCTTGCTCTGTCACCAGGCTGGAGTGCAGTGGCATGATCCCAGCTCACTGCCACCTCCACCTCCCAGGTTCAAGCGATTCTCCTGCCTCAACCTCCAGAGTAGCTGGAGATATAGGCACGTGCCACCACGCCCAGCTAATTTTTGTATTTTTAGTAGAGACAGGGTTTCACCATGTTGGCCAGGATGGCCTCGATCTCTTGACCTCGTGATCCGCCTGCCTCAGCCTTCTAAAGTGCTGGGATTACAGGCGTGAGCCACTGCGCCCGGCGTGTTAATTTTCTTAGTAGAGATGATGTTGTAGTAAGTGGAGAATGACATTCTCTTTCTCTTCCAACATGGCCTCTCCATGAGACTTGTCTGGACTTCCTCCTAGCACAGTGGGCTCTGGGTAACTAGACTTCACACGTGGCTGCTGACTTCCCAGGGTGACAGTGGAGGCTCCGTGGTTTCTTAAAGGGTAACGTTAAAGCAAGCTGCAAGGCCAGCCCAAGTGGAAGGTGAGCAGAGGTAGATCCCACTTCATGATGAATGAAACAACTCATGCTTACAAAAAGGGAAGGAATTGATAGGGGCCATCTTTGGAGACTATCTACTCCCCAGTGCCAAGGACCTGATTAAACATATCAAGAGGTTGAATGAAAGCTTCCCCCTCCACAATACATGAGAAATCCAGACACTGAAAATATGTTTCTATTATAAATAAGAAAAATGTAGAGAGTTCACATTAAAGAGAGTCAATAAGCATTTGGTGTATAGAACATTTAGGTTCTTTTCCTTATATGCAAGGAATTTATCATCTATGAGGCAAAGGTAGAAATATGCAGGTATAAAACATGTAAGAGCAAGGATTAGGATATTATTCCCTAGAAGACATCTGACTTTAGATCTATTACCATTTTCAGCTTCCCCTCCCTCACTTTGAACAGTATTTGAGGAGTGAATCCCAGAAATGAAGCTGTATTTTACTGATTTTTGCATTCCTACCAGTGTTTTGAGAATCTGGCACACAATGAGCACCCAATGTTTGTTGAATTCAATGAGTGAATCGTATCTATCATACAAACTGTTATCCATTCAGGAGTGGGAATTTTAGGAAATACACAAGGGCTGCAGCAAATTCATATACCTGTCATAATTGAAAAATGAGCTGTTCTGGTTCACAACTCTGTAGAATAGAACCATGAGCCCAGTAATAAGAAACAACTTGATCTCAATAGTCAAAATAGGTACTGCAAATGCAGGTTGAAAAGTTCCTACGCGTAAGTAAAAACCTCTCAGATTCACTTTAGGAAGGGTTTATAGGTGGGTTGAAGACTCGATAGTTTCAAGATCCTTGTCCTATCTCAATCTTCCATCTGGGATATGACTAAGAAGGGGTACTGGCTAATGCATACACAGGTGCTTACAACTTTTATATAATACTTTGGGTGGTGTTATGGCTGAATCATGTCCTCCTCAAGTTCATATTTTGAAGCCCTAATCTCCAGTGTGACTGTAATTGGAGACAGGGCCTTTAGAGTTAAAGGAGGTCGGAAGGGTGGAGCCCTAATTCAATATGACTGGGGTCCTTGTAAGAAGAGAAAGAGACAGCAGGGATGTGCATGCAGAGAAAAGACCCTGTGAGGATACGGACATACAGCAGTTTTCTCCTTGGTCTTGGACTTCCAGCCTCCAGAACGGTGAGAAAATAAATTTCTGTTGTTTAAGCCACCCAGGCTGTGGTATTTTGTAATGGCAGTCCTCACAATCTAATAAAGCTGGCAAACAAAACATTCAGGTAAATGTGCTCTTTCATATTACACAGGCTTTTTAAAACAGTATAATAATTGCAACTTGGAAAATAACAGAATATAAAAACATTTACCTACCACTCGGATTTTAACAAATGTGGACATCTTGTCATATTTGCTTCAGATATCTTTTTTAACTTTAAGAAATAAATTTGTTTTTGTTTTTGGTTTTTTGAGATGGAGTCTTGCTCTGTTGCCCAGGCTGGAGTGCAGTGGTGCAATCTCGGCTCACTGCCATCTCCAACGCCAGTTCAAGCGATTCTCCTTAGTGTCCCAAGTATCTAGGATTACAGGCATGTGCCACCACACCTGGCCAATTTTTGTATTTTTAGTAGAAACAGGCTTTCACCACGTTGATCAAGCTGGACATCTGTGGGTTTTTTGTTTTGTTTTTGAGAAGGGGTCTTGTTGTGTCACCCAGACTGGAGTATAGTGGCATAATTACTGATCACTGAAACCTCTGCCTCTGCCTCCTAGGCTCAGGTGATTCTCCCATATCAGCCTCCTGAGTAGCTCAGACCACAGGTGCACACCACCATGCCCAGCTAATTTTTTGTATTTTTGGTAGAAACAGGGTTTCACCATGTTGTCCAGGCTGGTCTTGAACTCCTGGGCTCAAGCGATCTGCCTGCCTCCCTCCCAAAGTGCTGGGATTACAGGCATGAGCCACTGCGTACAGCCCAGAAATAACATTTTATACTTTTATACTTAAAACTTTATATTTTGGTACCCTTTGGGTCTGCTTCCATACTGTCCTAGCCCAGAGGTAATCACAATTCTGAAGAAGGAAACCATTCCTGTCCATGTATTTATATACTTACATATATGCAAATGTCAAAAAGCAACAGATAGTATTGCTTTGTATTTACATGAGTGATATGGTTAAATATTTGTGCAAGTTTTTTCCTTCAACATTGTTTTGAGGTTTACGTACACAATTTGATACATGTAGCTATAGTTGATTTATTTTCACTGTTCTATAGTCTTCCATTGTATGAGCACACAATTTACTTATCCATTTTCCGCTGACAGATCTTCAGGTTGTTCTCAATGTTTCAGTGTTATAAACACCACGGCATGGAACAACCTTGCATATGTCTGCTTGCATGCATTAGTACCACAGGGTATTTGCACCTTCAGTTGTACCAGATATTGCTCTCCAGAATGAGGCTGAGGTAGGTAGATCACTTGAGTTCAGGAGCTTGAGAACAGCCTGCGCAACACGGTGAAACCCTGTTTCTACTAAAAATACAAAAAAACTTAGCCAGGTGTGATGGTGGGTGCCTTTAGTCCTAGCTACTTTGGGGGCTGAGGCAGGAGGATCACTTGAACCTGCGAGGTGGAGGTTTCAGTGAGCCAAGATTGCACCACTGCACTCTAGCTTGGGTGACAAAGTGAGACCCTACCTCAAAAAAAAAAAAAAAAAAAAAAAGGACTGTACCAATTGTCAGGGTTTAAAATTTCCCCATGTGAAATGGTAAATCATTTTTTATTACTGTGTGAAGGATAATCCACATACAATGAGCTGTACAATTTAATGGTCTTTCACAAATGTCTTCACTTGTGAAACCAGAACCATGATCAAGATAAAAACATTTTCAGGGGCCAAGATGGCTGACTAGAAACAGCTGCAGTCGGAAGCTCCCACTGAGAAGAAGAAAAACGGCAACTGAGGTATCCAGGTTCTCTCCTTGGGACTGGCTAGGAGGTTGGTGGGACCCATGGAGGCGGGTAAAAGCAGGGTGGTGCGACAGTCCACCTGGGAGCCACATGGGGTAAGGGGAGCTCCCACCCGTCTAAACCCAAAGAATGGACTTAGAGGCATGAAGAACAGCGCAAGTGAGACTTTTAATAACAGTCTTGCAAGAGTGGGTGTCTGGTGAGCAGGCACATCCAGGGCAGTCGCAACAGGTAATTTATCTCCTAGCAGCAAGTCCCTCCCCCAGTTCCTCGTTTGTTGAGTACTATGGGGTTACAATCTTCCCAGATGTCACCCAAGTTTCATTATCCCTCTTATAAGGTTATACCCCGTCCCCTTCTCCGCTTCAGTTTTGATTTCCCAATAACGAAACTGTCTTCTCTCTCTCTCTTTTTTCTTTCTTTTCTTTTTTTTTTTTTTTTTAACGAATGAGGCAATTTATTAACCCAGCATGGTTTGTTCTAATGCTTCTTGTTGGCAGCTGCCACCTGCCCGGCAATTCTGTCCAGATCTCTCTGTCCCTGAGGTGTCAGTTTGCGGCCCCCATCTTGGTCCTTTTCCACCATTTTCAGCCCCTCCAGGGCTTGGAGGACTCGGCGAGCCACACTCTTGGAGCCTTGGCTGACGTGGCTGGGCGTGACGCCGTTTCTCTGACGTCCCCCATAGATCTTGGTCATGGAGCCAACCCCAGCGCCACCCCGGAGGTAGAGGTGCCGCGCTGTGGAAGCAGCTCGTGTGTAGAACCAGTTCTCATCATGGGGAGCAAGCTCTTTGTGCTTGGCTAGCTTGACGGTGTCCACCCATTCGGGGACTTTCAGCTTCCTGGACTTTTTGAGGAAGGTTGCCAGAGCTCTGACGAACTCCTGCTGGTTCATGTCTTTTACAGTAACTGCAGGCATCATGCGGCCTCGCGCTGCCAGTCAGGGGAAAGGGAACTTTCTTCTCTCTTATGGGTTGACCCTCCTCTACATTCTGTTCGCTTATTGTGACCTTCTAGGTGCATGAGCCATGCAGTTTGTCACATTTGCAGACTGGCTGCCATACTTAGATTTATCATGCCTTGCAAATGGACCATTTAAAATATTTTATCACAGAAAACCACACTTTTTCCATGGATCTGTGCAAGCTGCAGATCAGAAGGTCCCCCTTGTGAGCCCATGCCACCAGGGCCTTGGGTCCCAAGCACAGAGCTGTACAGATTCTCAGTGACCACTCAGCTGGAGACTGCTGAAGACTACTGAGCTACTGAGTTCCGGGTTGGGGGAGGCGGGGAGCCATCATCCCTACGGCTGCCTTTGGCCTAAGATGACTGAGCTGCTTGGGGGAGGGGCAGCAGTCACCACTGCAGCTCTAGTCTGCAATTTGGATCCATGAGGAATTTTCCACAGTGCAGCACAGTGGTTGTGGTCGATTGTGGCCAGACTGCCTCTTTAGGCCGGACCCCTGACCTATCCCTCCTCACTAGGTGGGGCCTCCCTGCGGGAATTTCAGCAACTCCAGCCAGGTGTTTATGGACAAAACTCTAATCTTCCTGGGACGAAGCCTCATGTGGAGAGGGATGGTCACGGTCTCTGGATCAGCTGACTCAGTCTTTCTGCCAGCTGGCTCTGAGAAATCCAGGCAGTCCAGATGAGTGGGCTTCCCCACAGCACAGTGCACCATCTCCGCTAAGGGGGCAGCCAGAGTGCTTTGTTAAACAGGTCTCTGATCCTGTACCTCCTGACTGGGTGAGACTTCTCAACAGAGGTTGCCAGACACCTTATGCAAGAGCATTCCTGCTAGTATTAAGTTGGTGCCCCTCTGGGACAGAGCTCCCAGAGAAAGGAGCAGGCAGCCATCTTTGCTCTTCTGCAGCCTCCACTGTTGACACCTTCAGGTCCAGGAGGGACCCAGGAAAATAGGGTCTGGAGTGGACCCCCAGCAAATTGCAGCAGCCCTATGGAAGAAGGGCCTGACTGTTAAAAGAGAAACAAGCAAACAGAAAACAACAACAACAATGGCATCAACAAAAAAGTCCCCACAAAAACCCCATCCCAAGTTCAGCAGCCTCAAAGATAGAAGCTAGATTAACTCACAAAGATGAGAATCAATGAAAAATTGCTGAAAACTAAAAAATCCAGAGTGCCTCTTCTCCTTCAAATGATTGCAACACCTCTCCACCAAGGGCACAAATTTGGGCAGAGGCTGAGATGCATAAATTTGACAGAAGCAGGCTTCAGAAGGTGGGTAATAACAAACTTCACTGAGCTAAAAGAGCATGTTCTAACCCAACGCAAAGAAGCTAAGGACCATGCTAAAACAATACAGGAGTTGTTACCAGAATAAGCAGTTTAGAGAGGAACATAAATGACCTGATGGAGCTGAAAAACAACACGGGAACTTCACAATGCAGCCACAAATATCAATAGCCAAATAGAGCAAGTGGAGGAAAGAATTTCAGAGCTTGAAGACTATCTTGTTGAAATGAGACAGGCAGACAAAATTAGAAAAAAAAAAAAAAAAAGAATGAAAAGGAACAAACAAAATCTCCAAGAACTATGGGATCATGGAAAAAGACCAAACCTACAACTGACTGGAGTACCTGAAAGAGACAGGAAGAATGGAACCAAGTTGGAAAACATACTTCAGGATATCATCCAGGAGAACTTCCCCAACCTAGCAAGACAGGCTAACATTCCAATTCAGAAAATCCAGAGAATTCCTGTAATATACTCCATGAGAAGATCAACCCCAAGACACATATTTATTTACCTCCAAGGTCAAAATGAAGGAAAAAATGTTAAGCACAGCCAGATAGAAAGACCAGGTCACCTACAAAAAGAAGGCCATCAGTCTAATCGTGGACCTCTCAGCAGAAACCCTAGAAGCCAGAAGAGATTGGGGCCCAATATTCCACATTCTTAAGGAAAAGAATTTCCAACCCAGAATTTCATATCTGCCTAAATTAAGCTTCATAAGTGAAAGAGAAATAAAATCCTTTTCAGACAACCAAATCCTGAGGCAATTCATCACCTCCAGGCCTGCCTTGCAAGAGCTCTTGAAGGAAGCACTAAATATGGAAAGGAAAAACCATTAACGGCCACTACAAAAACACACTGAAGTACAAAAACCAATGACACTATGAAGCATATACATCAATAAATATGCAAAATAGCCAGCTAGCATCATGATGACAGGATAAAATTCACACGTAACAATATTAACCTTAAATGTAAATGGGCTAAATGCCCCAATTAAAAGACACAAAATGGCAAGCTGGATAAAGAGTCAAGACCCATCAGGTGCTGTATTCAAGAGACCCATCTCACATGCAAAGACACACATAGGCTCAAAATAAAGAGATGAAAGGAAATTTACCAAGCAAATGAAAAGCAGAAAAAAGCAGGAATTGCAATCCTGGTTTCTGACACAACAGATTTTAAACTAACAAAGATCAAAAAAGATTAAGAAGGGCATTACATAATGGTAAAGGGTTTAATTCAACAAGAAGAGCTAACTATCCTAAATATATATTCACCCAACACAGGAGCACCCAGATTCATAAAACTAGTTCATAGAGACGTACAAAGAGACTTAGACTCTCACACAATAATACTGGGAGAATTTAACACCCCACTGTTAATATTAAACAGATCATTGAGACAGAAAATTAACAAAGAGACTCAGGACTTAGACTCAGCTGTACATCAAGTGGACCTGATAGATACCTACAGAACTTTCCACTAAAAACAACAGAATATACATTCTTCTCAGTGCCACGTGGCACTAACTCTAAAATTGATCACATAATTGGAAGTAAAACACTCCTCAGCAAATGCGTAAGAACTGAAATCATAACAAACAGTCTCGCAGACCAAGCACAATCAAATTAGAACTCAAGATTTAAAAACTCACCCAAAACCACACAACTACATGGAAACTAAACAACTTGTCCTGAATGTCTCCTTGGTGATTAATGAAATTAAGGCAGAAATCAAGAAGTTCTTTGAAACCAAGGAGAACAAAAAGACAATGTTCCAGAATCTCTGGGATGTAGCTAAAGCAGTGTTAAGAGGGAAACGTATAGCAGTAAATGTCCACAACAAAAAGCTAGAAAGATCTCAAATTGACATCACAACTAAAAGAACTAGAGAACTGAGAGCAAACAAACCCTAAAGCTAGAAGAAGACAAGAAATAACCAAAATCAGACTGGAACTGAAGGAGATGGAGACACGAAAAATCCTTAAAAAAAAATCAACTAACCCGGGAGCCGGTTTTTTGAAAAAATTAATAAAATAGACTACTAGCTAGAGTAGCAAACAAGAAAAGAGAGGAGAATCAAATAGACACAATAAAAAATTATAAAGGAGATATCACCACTGACCCCACAGAAATGCAAGCAACCATTAGGGAATACTATAAACACCTCTATATGAATAAACTAGAAAATTTAGAAGAGATGGATAAATTCCTGCATATATACACCCTCCCATGACTGAACCAGGAAGAAGTTGAATTCCTGAATAGAACAATAACAAGTTCTGAAATTGAGGCAGTAAGAAATAGCCAACCAACCAAAAAAAGCCCAGGACCAGACGGATTTACAGTTGAATTCTACCAGAAGTATAAAGAGAAGCTGGTACCATTTCTTCTGAAATTATTCCAAACAACTGAAAAGGAGAATATCCTCCCTAACTCATTTTATGAGGCCAGCATCATTCTGATACCAATACCTGGCAGAGATACAACAAAAAAAGAAAACTTCAGGTCAATATCCCTGATGAACATTGATGCAAAAATCCTCAATAAAATACTAGCAAACTAAATCCAGCAGCAAATCAAAAAGCTTACCTACCATGATCAAGTTTGCTTCATCCCCAGGATGCAAGGCTGGTTCAGTGTATGCAAATCAATAAACATAATTCATCACATAAACAGAACTACAGACAAAAATCACATGATTATCTCAATAGATGCAGAAAAGGCCTTCAGTAAAATTCAGCATCCCTTCATGTTAAAAACTCTCAATAAACTAGGTATTGATGGAACATACCTCAAAATAATAAAAGGCATTTATGACAAACCCACAACAATATCATACTGAACAGGCAAAAGCTGGAAGCATTCCCCTTGAAAACCAGCACAAGACAAGGATGCCCTCTCTCACCACTCCTATTCAACATAGTATTGGAATTTCTGGTCAGGGCAATCAGGCAAGAGAAAAAATAGAGTATTCAAATAGGAAGAGAGAAAGTTAAACTGTCTCTGTTTGCAGATGACATGATCCTATACCTAGAAAACCCCATCGTCTTGGCCCAAAAGCTTCTTAAGCTGATAAGCAACTTCAGTGAAGTCTCAGAAAACAAAATCAATATACAAAAGTCACAAGCATTCCTGTCCAAAAACCATAGACAAGCAGAGAGCCAAATCATGAATGAACTCCCATTCACAATTGCTACAAGGAGAATAAGATACCTAGGAATACAGCTAACCAAGGAAGTGAAGGACCTCTTCAAGGAGAACAACAAACCACTGCTCAAGGAAGTCAGAGAGGACACAAACAAATGGAAAAGCATTCCAAGTTCATGGATAAGAAGAATCAATATTGTGAAAATGGCCATACTGCCCAAATTAATTCATAGATTCAATGCTATTCCCATTCAACCACCTCAGACCTTCTTCACAGAATTAGAAAAAACTACTTTGAACTTCATATAGAACAACAACAACAACAAAAAGCCCGTGTAGCCAAGACAATCTTAAGCAAAAAGAACAATACTGGAGGCATATTACTCAACTTCAAACTCTACTGCAAGGCTACAGTAACCAACACAGCATGGTACTGGTACAAAAATAGACACATAGGCCAATGAAACAGAATAGAGATCTCAGAAATAAGACCACACATCTACAACCATCTGATCTTCAACAAATCTGACAAAAACAAGCAATGAGGAAAGAATTCCCTATTTAATAAATGGTTCTGGGAGAACTGGCTAGCCATATGCAGAAAATTGAAACTGGACCCCTTTTTTACACCTTCTATAAAAATGAAAGATGGATTAAAAACTTAAAGGTAAAATCCCAAACTGTAAAAACCCTAGAAGAAAATCTAGGCAATACCCATTCAGGACATTCGCATGGGCAAAGATTTCATCACAAAAAGGTCAAAAGCAATTGCAACAAAAGCAAAAATTGACAAATGGGATCTAATTAAACTAAAGAACTTCTGCACAGCAAAAGAAACTATTATCAGTGAGAAAGACAACCTACAGAATGGGAGAAAATTTTGAAGCTAGACAAAGGTCTAACATCCAGAATCTACAAGGAACTTAAGCAAACATACAAGAAAAAAACAAACAACCCTGTTAAAAAGTGGACAAAGGACATGAACAGACACTTCTCAAAAGAAGACATTTATGTGGCCAACAAACATATGAAAAAAAGCTCAACATCATTGATCATTAGATAAATGCAAATCAAAACTACAGTGAGGCTGGGCACGGTGGCTCATGCCTGTAATCCCAGCATTTGAGAGGCCAAGGCAGGTGGATCACTTGAGGTCAGGAGTTCAAGATCAGCCTGGCCAACATGGTGAAACCCTGTTTCTACTAAAAATACAAAAATTAGCCAGGCATGGTGGTGTGTGCCTGTAGTCCCAGCTACTTGGGAAGCTAAGGCAGCAGAATCGCTTGCACCCAGGAGGCAGATGTTTCAGTGAGCTGAGATCACACCCCAGCTTGGGCAACAGAGCAAGACTCCTTCACTCGCACACACAAAAAACTACAATGAGATAACATTTCACGCCAGTCAGAATGGTGATTATTAAAAAGTCAAGAAACAACAGATACTGGCGAGGGTATGGAGAAATAGGAACACTTTTACACTGTTGGTGGGAATGTAAATTAGTTCAACCATATGGAAAACAGTGTGGGGATTC